CAAACCCACCCTGGTCCAGTTCCGTCAACACAACTTGCAGCGCCGCCCAGCTGCCCCCGCCGCCGCCCCGGTCCCGGCCCGTCTCGACGTCCTAAGCCACGCACAGCACAGCCCCAAGCCAACTCCGACGACGTCTAAATTACAGACAACTCTCGGACGGCGGTGCGGGCGCGGGCGTGTCTTCCCCGAGCTAACAAACGGCTCTGTTGTCGTCCCGCAGGACCCGCGCTTCAATAGCGACGTGGACATGCGCACCGGCTACAAGACCAACGCGATCCTCTCCATGCCCATCTGCAACCACGACGGCGAGGTGATCGGCGTGGCGCAGATCATCAACAAGACCAACGGCTCGGACGAGTTCACGGCCCGCGACGTTGAGGTGTTCAACAAGTACCTGACGTTCTGCGGCATAGGCCTCCAGAATGCTCAACTGTTTGAAATGTCCGTCCAGGAATTCAGGCGAAATCAGGTGAGGAGGGGAAGGGCTCGCATTCTACTGTCGGCGGGAATCGATCACACCTGACAATTGTACGATGTGACTGTATTTCTAAACTCGTGCCATTACTGCCCAGATTTTGCTGAATTTAGCCCGCAGTATTTTCGAAGAACAGAACAACCTGGAGTGTCTGGTGACGAAGATCATGACGCAGGCGAGGGAATTGCTCAAGTGCGAGAGGTGCGCGGTCTTCCTGCTGGCTGTGGAGGACGGCGGTGAGGAGGTAGGTGTGGCCCCGGAGCGCGTTGAGGAGACTGTCCGACTGTCAGACTTCAGACAAAAAAAAACACGCTCGCTCTATTGTTTTGTTGCAGAGTCATTTGGACCGCATCTGCGAGAGGCCGGGTAAATCGATTGAGGAGCGGAGGCCACTCTGTAGAAGAGAGGTAAGCGTAGCCCCGAGTTTACACGTGATTGTTTCCGTTCTCTTTGTGCCTCTGCACAATAGCGATTCGATGATGCTAATTATTTGCCCTCGCCGCCACACTGTTCTCCTGCCAGAGCAACAACATCGACATCGAGGATATTATCGCCCAGAGGTCCACCGACAAGGTAAGGCCCCCGCTGATGTGGTCGAGCGCCCCCTGCTCCCGCCCAATACCGGCTCCCTTTGAAATTAAACCCCGACACCAGCCCGAGCCGGGCGGGGCCGGGCCGAGCCGGGCTGAGCCGAGCCCCGAGCCGGGCGGGCACGCGCCCTTTCCTAGCAGTCGGCCCCGCCTGCCACGCGCAGCCACGCGCCCCTGCCCCGTGCCGCGCTGACCGGAAACACGTTGCGGCCGGGGCGTGTTGGCTTCCTGTTGGACAGGCCATTAGTCAAGCGCGGGGGGCCTAAGTGAGCGGGGCCGCGGGGGTCACTCCGCTAAGCGCCCCCCCCCC